GCTATTGTCCGGTTTGGTTTGGAAGGATTTGGCCTTAAACCCAAAGATAATGCTAGGAAGGTTAAAATTTTAAACTAAATTGACAAACTAAATGATGTATCACTTATAAAAAATAAACATGTTAACTAGCACTTAAATAATAATCTAATAATTAACATCTACATCAGTTGGTAGCCTCATACTAGTACTCTACTACACTGTCTAATACTTTGATAGTTGTATAGCGACGTAGGAATACCGGAATCTCTGCAACTGAGTGTTGTTTATCAATTCCTGAAAATCTCCAATTTTCATCATCAAGATGTTGGTTCATTAAATTAGGTTACATCTTGGAGCTCCAATGTCAGTCAGCTTTCATGTAAGGAGTTATTTCATGAAGATGAAAACATTTCTTGCATTCTTGTTTGTGCAAAGTTGACACAAATTTGAACGAGACTTGGGTGCTGAAAAATCAGCAGCGGCCCCTGCTGATGACCAATCAAAAATGGACAAATGTTCAAGTTGTTGATTTTTTAATCACAACTTGAACACGGTTAAGCTGTGATTGATCATCAGCAGGAGTTGTTGCTGATTTTTTCAGCAGTCAAGTTCTATCCCACAAATTTTGGGTAATAATCTTTGATATGAAACCAAACGAATGTTGATGTGATTTATTTCAATTCGGTTGGAGTTGATATGTGATTTCTTTGAATTCGTAGCTGCTTTCTAGTCTATAAGTACTGGTTTAATACTGATGTACTTTTATAAATAGAAAGTATAAAAAAAAGTTGAGCTCAAAAATGTGTTTGGTAAACACTTAAAAACAGCTTATTTTCACAGTTTTTTGTGAAAAAAGCTGAACATGTGAAGCAGCATAAATGTTGGATTATGATTTCTTGTTAAACGTTGGATTATGATTTTTTGTTAAACGTTAGATTATATGTTTAAGATAAAGTTTATAAATATTTTTCTTTTAAAAAAAGTATATTTAGTAATCCACCTTTATTTGTTACGAAAATTAAATTAATGGCACATTTAGTATTATACCATTTTTTGTCATTTCACACAGTTACCGCTGTTTTACATAAAAATTTACCAAACACTATAATACTACTTTTTTTTTTCCAATAACACTTTTACAAAAAAGTTTACTAAACACTCTGCTGTTTTATTTACAGCTGCTTATTCTCACAGCACAGCAGAACCAATTTTTTTCAAAGCACATCAATAACAAACCAGCCCTAAGTGAAGTGATTGTTGGACATCGTATTTTGAGGTGCTTTGGACATTCAGAACATATATTGCCCATTGTAGATGGTAAGCAAGGGTACCTTGACTTGTAATGTTCCAAATGTCGGTCATCATGCCTTGATTTTAGTGTCTACTTGGATATCTGAGATGAGATGTGTTAACTGTAGCGATAAACCCGTGGAATGTAAGTTATTGTCCTACTGTAGGAAGTGTTAATGAATTGAGTCGAGCAGAATAAAATAACAAGGTGTTCAAGCTCGGCTGAGATAAATAAAAAAGTGTGTAATCAACCAGGGAGGATTTTGGATTATTACACCAAGGGGTCATAGTCTAAAGTCTAAACTCTAAAGTGTTGAAATTTTTTAGACGAAAAGTGAAATAACAAGAAGCAACAACTGTCCATCTTGTTCGGTCAAGTATACAGAATACTTACACTGACTGCATTATTACTTGAACTTGAACGAACCGGACCGGAATACTTGAACAATTTGTGTTCGTGGCAGGAATTTCCGTCGGGGATGCTTCCTAGCCGACGAGCACACAGCTCCCCGAGAGGTCGGCGCCGGTTGATGTTTTCTGTCGGGCTTCTGCTTTACTGGCGGGCTTGTCGAGCAAAGCCTGTCGGGCAAGGCTGAAAGAGAAGGACAGAGTTAACTTTGAAAGGTGCCTTTGTGGGGCCTTAGGTGTAGGCCTTGAGGCTCACAATCAAGATTAACTTTTTAGTGCTCAGGCGTGCCACTGCCATCTTCAGCATGGCAGATGTAAAACGGATGTTGAGTTTTAATTATATATATATTCGAGAGACTATGTTAGTTATTGACAGGTGCCTTTGTGGGGCCTTAGGTGTAGGCTTTGAGGCTTCCCGTTAATAACTAACTTAGTACTCGAATACATAAGGTTCATTTTCTTGGTTATATGAGTCTTATAACCATTATACTTCTGATTACCTGAGCCCGAAGAGCAGAATGAATCCAAATAGGTGCTTTTGTAGGGCCTTAGATAGGCCTTGAGGCTTCCCATCAGAACTCCTTCTATACTCAACGTTCTAGCCCGATGAACATGATGAATTCAAATAGGTGCCTTTGTAGGGCCTTGAATAGGCCTTGAGGCTTCCTATCAGAATTCATTCCGTACTCGAACGTTTTATGGTAATCATAATATAATAGAAATAAAACTAAGTAACAGGTTGATTACTTGCGCCTCAAGTAACTTCGGACTTCTTGTTTATCAAAGCTTGTCGTGGATGAGTTAAGTCCACATAAGGTTCTTTTTTTATGCCTTGAGGCCAAAGACTTTTGAGTGATCAAATCTTACATGCCCGAGGGCTTAGAACTTAGATATGGCTTGAACTGTGAAGACATATTCAAATCGGATTCAAGCGCTGAGAGAGTCTTTTAATAGCCATATTACTAGAAATAACTTGGATACAACTTGTAGTATACAACATATTGCTAGGCTAATGAATGAAAAGACAAAAATAAAGAGGGTTGGGCAAGGTTTAACCTTGTCGGGTAAGGCTGATCGTCTTGCAACTTCCTATCTTTGTGGTTTATCAGGAGGTTTGAAAGCTTAGAAAAGGGGTTGAGAGGTGAGTTTACAGAAAGAAATCGATACTACAGCAAGAGTTGAACAGGGTAGCAGAGCTATTACAAAGGGTTTATCCCGAAAGGGATGAAGGCTTGGGCTGACTACAGTTTCGTTTTGAAGGCAAATCTGGCTTTGAGCAGAGTTTGTGCTTGTATTTGTTGGTTTGTTTGAGTGTCCTTAACTCTGATTTCTCTTTCTTCTTTTATAGACACTTTGGCTTAGCCTCATGTAGCAATAATCTTGCCCGAATGCAGTTTGAAGAATAGTGACTCATCAACTATTTACTTGTACTGCCACTATAAAGTACTTTTGGGCTGATTAGCTGGCTGGTCTATACCACTTGGCCCTTGGGTAGGTGAGCAAGTGGTGCAAATGACCTGCACCTAGTCAGGAAAGGCTTTTTCTGTCTTCTGGGCTTGGGCTGTGCTTCGGGCTTTTCTCCTCTTTTTGGGCCAACTCCCTTCTGAGCCCAAAGTTTAAGTTTTAACCCAAACAATTTGATTTAGTTCAACTTGAATTAGCCGTGTTTGCCGGAAATGGATCCTTTTCGGATCCCTTCCACCAAGTCCACTCATTCGGACCGTTGAAATTTGATCCAACAGTTAAAGTTATTATAACTTTTAAAAGGGTCTTCTGATTATAGTCGTTGGATCAAATTTCAATGGCTCGGATGAGTGGACTTGGTGGACTTGGTGGATAGTTGGTGGACTTGGTGGAAGGGATTCAGAAATGATCCCTTCCTGTGTTTGCCTTTGGAATGTGGGATTTGTGTATACATGTTTAGTTTGGTATTTTTATTTTTGAACAAGCAATGTTATTTACACAGAGGAGTGAGTGAACTAAGTCTTATAATGATTTAGCAATAATGTGTTTAAGTTTATCTTTAGTGAGAATCGAACCTAAAACATCTCACTTACAAGTGAATAGGAATATCTCTAGACCGTAGTACTAAATTCTGAACGTCAAAGGATCATGATTCAAACGACCAAGGGGCGTTGCGCCGAGGGTAATAATTTAGTGGTCCTCCTTTCAAAACTGTCAAAGAACATTGGTGGTGTGTTAGAGTGGAACTCCTCCATAAGAGAATGTGTGAAGCAAATACAATGAACTTAGATGAAACATAGCAAGGGTCAAGTCCTTTAAATGTAAATATTAATTTTCATGTGTAGAATATTTCCCAACCTGTGGTGTGTTGGAGTGGAACTCCGCCATAAGAGAATGTGTGAAGTAAGTACAATGAACTTAGATGAAACATAGCAAGGGTCAAGTCCTTTAAATGTAAATATTAATTTCCACGTGTAGAATATTTCCCAGCCTCTCTCCGCCGCAGATCACACCCCACCCAACATTATTTATCTATTATTTTAAATTATATTTTGTTTTTTTTTTCAAAATCTTATTAATTAAATAGGGGTTTAAAAGTCTTCTTTTAAAAGGATAAATCTCATTAACATTTTTATTAAATGATGGATGAGAAAATAAGACAGAGAGTAGAAGAAATATCAGTACTCTTTATAATTTATTATCTATTTTTTCTTGTCAATTGTAGATTTTTTTTTTCGTTTTATGGACATTTTTGTTCAATTATTTTTGTCGAAACCTATTTCACCCAATCCGGCCCTGGCTTTATAACAACACAGATACAGATATAGAGTTAACCAAATTGATTAGAGCAATAGTGTAGTTGTATTTAGGCCTCCCGCAAAATCCTCTCAGTCAGTCCCTAAAATCTTATCATTTGTCAAAGAAATTATTTTCTTTTTGGATTATTTCTTTAGCAGGTGGACCAATTTGCATGGGACAACTGACTAGCCAAGTAGGTTTTTTGTTTTTTTTTTTTATGGTTTTAACCAAGTAGTTATAGGCCATGGAAATAGCTTCTATGTTTATCAAGTACACTATTCCTTTATATTAAAGAAGCAAAAATTATATTATGCTCCAAAGTATAATATGCTTTGGGTTTTGTAATGATTAGATGCTGATTTCTTTTAGGTTTTTTAATGATTAGATGCTGATTTCTTTTAGGTTTTTTAATGATTAGATGCTGATTTCTTTATTTTGAATAAAGATCTAACAGTAAAAATTTTGGAATATCCTGTACTTCGGAATTCCATAAAAAAATCCAGATTAATGTCATAATCTACATTTTTAAATTAAATAAGTCGTTATTCATTACCATACTCTTTGCAAGCGATGTAAAGATGTTTTATTTTTCAATTAACTATTTGTACTATTATCCAAATTTCCACAGGTAAAAGCCACATAGTTAAGCCATGGCAGCTTTGCAAGAAGAAGGAAATTACCAACCCTCCCACTTTGTGCAAGCTACCAGACTGCACCCAGTCGTGTGCAAAGTCGCATCCCGGAGCTGGAGGGTTTGGGTTCTGCATTGCTGAATTTTGCCTGTGTATGCATTCCTGCCACGGAAACCGCCAACCTCCCAGAGATGCAGAGGCAGATCAACCTTTCGATATTTTTGGTATTTATTTCCGCCTCATCACAGTACTAGCAAAACAATGGAGACTAGATAATGCCAACAACCATCAAAGATGATAAAATCCGCTCTGGTGTACATGCAACACAATGCAACTTGTACACAATCAGCATACCGGTAAAGGGAAAAATATACCTTTGGATACGATATCTTTCTTGTTTTCGCAATGCAGCATAAAAGAGTAAACGATACAGAAATAGAATATCCAAAACTTAACTACGACATGGTGATCCAGTTTCAGAACATGGAAAGTTAGTCTTAACACTGTCGCCTTTTCACTCAACTTCAAGCTGAGCTCACACCCCATTCTCCAGACAAGGCGCAAACGAGTTTTTCAGATCTGTCTGGGCAGCGGGCACAAAACCACCACCTGGGAAGACAAGATTTGGATTGTACTAGGAATCTTCTTCGTCAGTAGAATCCAGGAGACGAGCCTTGTAAGTAACCAACAACTCCTCTGCATCACCTCTAAATCTTGATATAAACTTGTCCAAAAATTCATTCTCCGGCAAAATAAGTGCATAATAAAAACTCGGATCTCTCTTCAATAACCGTTTTGACTTTATAACCTCCAAAATCCTGTATCGAGCACTCACTCGATTCTCCATGCTATACATCAAAATCCAAGGGGTATGAATTAATACCGACTTTTTGAACTTGACCGTATTCAAGAAAAAATCAATTCCAAACTTTAACTTCTCCTCTGAGGTCCTAAGCAAACCTGGCGTTCTTCTAAACATATCCATACATTCATCCTCTGAGAAACCAAAACCACAAAGCAAGTCCAATTTTCTACTAATTGTCTCATTCCGTAAACAGCTAACTGTATATAAACCATGAACCAACATCCCAGAATTCAATGAGAAACCCATTTCCACAACCCGTGCAACAAGGCTTCTAAGCACAGATTCCTGAACAATGAAAAGCCATGGCTGCCTCTTCAATAGCGTGGAAAGCTGAGAACCAACAATTCCGCAACTCTCCATAAAGGCAATATTTCCTAACAACCTTGATTTTGGGTCCCTTGTAACTACCCAATTACATCTATGTAAAACCCGAATCAAATCTTTAGCATTCTCATCATTCCCCAAAATTTTCTTCAGAATTTCAATACAGGGTACTAATTTTCTGTCCAAACTAGCAGTCAACAGTGTGGAATTTTTGGCAATGAACCTAGCGAGATCAGAACCGAAAAGACCCAATTGTTGAAAGAACTCAAGCTTAGGCCTCAGGGTTTTGTCAATATTAGAAAACAAAATTTGGGGTGACACACGCACAGTGGATCGGATATGGGTATCAGAGAATCCAAGTTCTTGAAGAAAGCTATACACAGATTGAGGCTTTTCAAGGGATGTGACCCATGAGAATCGACTTGAGATTGAGAAGGCTTGGGTTTTGGTGAATTTGAAGGTATTGACAAGGTAATCGGCGAGGTGGGAGTTTCCATTTGGTTTTACAATTTGGGTGGGTGAAGATAGAGATGAGAAAAGAGAGATGGAAAGTTTGGCATCATTAGAGGGAAGGTACTGGAAATATAGAGGTGAGCGCGAGAACACAAGCAGTTTCAAAGCTTGCATTTGCATCTATAGCCATATGCAAGTACATCTATACATACATTGTGTGTGTGTAAGAGAGAGAGAGAGAGATGTTCTGTGCAACTACGAAAGAACATAAAAGTGATTGAGGTGAAATCTAAGGTATACGAAAGATCTAAAGGAACAGCTAAATGATGTTTCTAATAAAGAAAAGAAACATTGTACATTAGACAAGGAAGACGTTTGTTTCTCACTTGTATTGATTCTTATCTCAGTCATGTCGTGGTTTGCTAGTACTGGTACCTGGTATCCATTCTTAGACCAAGTAATGTTGCCTTGCTTGTAGCCTTGTACCAGGCTGAGGCTGAGATATATTCTGTAAACAAGCATGAAAGATGGTTTTATTAATTTACTACACATAACCAACTTCAAAAAGAGTAGGAAGAAAGAATATAAAGTTTGGGGAGATGGTGAAGAGCCAATCCAAGAGCATGACCGCGCATGCTTCCTCTTAAACATGGAAAATGCATACTTTTCGAAAAGTTCAAACATGCAACTAAGCTGAAATAACAAATAAATTCAATCCAATTCCAACACCCACATTCCACAGTCACTCCATATTTTCCTATAACAACCAGGACCGTCCCTCCAAAACATTACAAGTACAACATGATTGCTGATTCTCGTAAGAACACACAACTTACTGAAATAACAAATCAATTCAATTACACTCTAAGACTCGGATTAAAGTATCAGATATATATATGTGTGTGTGTTTATACTTTATATGCAATATTTTTTTGACAATAACGAGCGATAGTGTATTTATATGTATACATATATATATATATATGCACTTTTTTAGGTTTGTAAAAGAGAAGACTAGAAAGAACAGGAACAAATCAATTAATCGAGAACGCAGCACTAGAACGTAGTAAAAAGATTGAAGTAGAAAACTTAAGTGCGAGGCCTTGCTATCAGGATGATCCCGTTTTAGTAACAAGAATCTATGGTGTCAAATAAGCTATACATCAAACATATGACTAGGACGCCCTAGCTAAATGTTGATCTTCAAATTTGCAGTCAGTATGATCCCGTCAAAATCTATCATGTCAATAAAGTAACAGTATACCGAGCTCGACACACAAAGTATACCAGTAAAAAAATTGAATGGAATTGACCTATGATTCCCCCAATCCATAAAAAAAATTGAATGGAATTGAACTCTGATTCCCCCAATCCATAAAAAAAATTGAATGGAATTGAACTGTGATTCCACCAATCCATATATAGTACCCAGCCACATCCCCCAGCCCGCAGAAGGTAAAACAATTTCAGATGAGAAAATTAGAAGGGGGAAGAACCCACAATAAACTCGCAAAAGAATCGAAAAAGAAAAATGAAAACCCTAAGAGAATTACACAGAAAACTGATGGGTTTATCCATCAGAAACGTAAATTGAAGACGACAGTTAGGAGGGAAAAACCTTTTTTAGGCTTTGAATTTGGCGATGGTTTCGATTTCCACAGGAAGGAGGCTGTCGGTCTGTCTATTTGCAGCGACGAAGATGGAGGTGGAGACTGGAGAGGGAGAGGGAGAGGGAGAGGGAGAAGGAGTGGGGACGGAGAGATTAAGGGCTGGTTGATATTATGTGTTTTGAAAGAAAACTGCACGAACAAGCGATTGTGAAATAAAGTTGTAGGGTGTTTGGTAAATTTTTTTGTAAAAATGCTTTTAAAAAAAATAAATAGTATTATAGTGTTTGGTAAACTTTTATGTAAAACAGATGTGAAAAAAAATCGGTTTTTCAAAACTGGGTTTTGAAGCTTCTTGTTTTTGACTTTTTTTTCATCCAAAACTGTAAAAAAAAGTTTAAGCTGAATGTTTTGTTTACCAAACACAACAAAAGCTCAGTTTTTTTTTATACCAGTTTTTTTTCAAAATCACCTTAGTACCAAACCAGGTCTAATTCTTAATTTTTCTTCCAACTCCGCGCATGCTTTTAATTTGTTAAATAGTGTTTCTTAAGTTTAGAATTTCGGGTGACATGGTACATTCAAATAGCACTAGCTAGCAATTCGTGGAATTAAATTTTGTCTTATACTGATTTATAATTTTAATAGAGGGTTCTAATTCGATTTTTGTAATTGACGACAGTTGGATTATTAGTTACAAAAATTGTACGACGGTATAATTATCTGAAGAATAAAATAATAGAATCATCATATTGAATTTCAACGAACGGACATTAGATATGAGCTCAGGGCATCGAGAACATCTACTTCAAAATTCAAAATTAACTATTACCAGCACTGCCATGCGCTTGTCCCACTTTTTTTCTCTCAATTCAAAAATCGAAGATATTAACCAAAATTTTTATGTGAGCACAAAATCAGCGAAGACTTTGGTACAACAGAAAGTGTCAGGTTTTGTGACCTTCGCTTGGTTGCTTCGGTCACTAGTGAGTATAAGTACGTAAATGAATAGAGACAGAGAAGCAAACACAGGATGTACGTGGTTCACCCAGATTGGCTACGTCCACGGAGTAGAGGAGTTCTTATTAGTAGTGAAGGGCTTACACAAGTACAAAGGATCAAGCTCTCAATTTAGTGAGTTCTTGTGAATGATTTAACACAAATGGCATTAGGCAATATTGTGGGGGAATGACCCCTATTTATAGAAAAACTTGTAGCTTTGTCACATTGACATGTGTCATGTTATGATTGGTTCTTGATGTCGACACGTGCTGCGCTCTGATTGGCTTCTAATCTTGACACGTGTCGAGTAGTGATTGGCCTCCTGGTCGGAGGGGAACTCTTCTGGGTCCTTGACAGTATAGCGTTGGCCGGTGCTCGGTAGTTTCGGGATTGGTCAAGTATGGTACAAACAGTGCTCCCCTAAGTTCCCGAGTGAGGGAAACTCCTCGGTTGGGGACTTGCAAGATCCAATCCCTTGAGTAATCACGAAACTTCTAAGTACCGAAGTGTGGTCTGATCTTCATCTGCCCTTCTCTGGAAGTACCTTTCCTCCATCCGGGAATGGTGTATTTTAGCTGATGTTGACGCACAAGGTAATGTATCAATTTCACTTGAAGCTTAGTTGTAGTTTCGGGCTTAGTCAAGTGTGATACAAACCCTATAGTAGGAGTCCCCCAAGTCGCCGAGCTAGGAGATCTGCCGAAAGAGGTGACAGACAAGGTAAGCAGTCAAACTTCCAAGTAAGCAACCCAGGATCAGAGGTTTGACTTCGGCTTCCGGTTGATTGTTCTCCTTCTCCTTGTCTCTCATTCAACTGCCAGGATAAGGAGAAGCAAATGGATAAGAGAGATGATATGAGATACTTTTGCTTTTGAAGAAGTAACTTTCCACAGGCTTATTCTTGAACTGTGCTGGAGGGTTTTCTGGTGCCCTTCAGAGTATAAGGCCGACTCAAAAATTTGAGGGTCAAAACAAGTCCATCAAATCTAGAGTACGTTCGACCTTGATGATATGGGATACTTTTGCTGTTGACGGAATAATGAATGTGGTATGGAAAGGTGTCGTGCTGTAGTGATCTGTTTCAGCTCACCGTTGAACCTTCTGCTTCAATCTTTTGCATGGCAGAAGTGGTGTGCAACCTTTGCATTTAAATGGTCCTTCAGAACATTCCTTCATAGTGACTCATCCACGCTTGGCAGCTTCAGTGTAAAGAGCCAATATCTGATCAACTGTCATGAGGTATTTGCCGGTGGAATTCGTGACCTTGACAGCAGTTGAGGATGAGTACTCGAGAGCAATGCTAAGTAAGCAACCAGGCAAAGGCTCCAGGCAGTCAGTTCCAAATTGGAGGTTTGATTTCAGGTTCCGACTGACTGCTCTCTTTCTCCTTGTCCTGCAGGTGTGGACAAGGACAAAGACAAAGACAGGGAGAAAGCATGATATGGGATACTCTTGCTTTCGACCCTGATGATATGAGATACTCTTGTTCTTGGTGTGGCTTATTTGCTGAGGTATTATCGGGGGGAAATAAAGCTGAGTATTTCGAGAGGTTATGTTGAGGGTGCCTTTTCGAATGCGAGAAAGGGTTGAGCATTTTTGCAGGTTTGCCTGTCCGTTGAGGAGGGAGGTCAATGTATATAGGGATTTCCCAATAACAAGTAGTAATGCTATTCCTTTACCCTTCTTGGTCACAGCAATGTAGTGGGAGCTGCCAGCTTCACGTGTTTTAATTTTGTCAGAGCACTTTGAAAAAGTGGTATGTGGTATCTGGAAAGCTGATATTACGTGTGAAGATTACAGACAAGCTTTATCTAAGGAAATCTGGCTCTCGAAGTTCTGAGAGTTGTGCCTCTTCGGTTTTCGAACAAGCAATCCCGTCGAGGATCTGACTCTCGAGATTCGGAAAGCGGTGCTACTCCGGTTTTTTGAGAAAGTAATTATGTTGGGAGTCTTTTCTCGAATGTGAGTAAAGGTTGGACGTTCTTGCCAACCTGTCTTGCCGCAAAACACGGAGGTCGACACACATAGGGACTTTCCAGTTGTCAAGCAGTGGTGCTGTTCCTTTACCCTTATGGGTAATAGTAGGGTAGCTGGAACTTCGAAATTCTCGTGCCTAAACTTTGTCAGAGATCTTTGACAAAGTTATATGTGGTACCCGAGGAGTTGATGGTGCATATGGAGAGCGGTGATTGAACAGTAAGATTCACGTGCTTTCTACTTCACCAGAAATCTTCGACAGATTGCCCGTAATTTCCGCAAAGCTGAGTTGTGCATGTGACAGGTGCTGACGAGGCTGAAAAAGCAGGTGCTTCTTCGATTTCTGAGATCGGCCCTCGTGGTCTCTGAGCAGCCCAGCTTTTGAGAAAGCAAACGCCTCTTCGATTTCTGAGATCGGCCCTCGTGGTCTCTGAGCAGCCCAGCTTTTGAGAAAGCAAACGCCTCTTCGATTTCTGAAGCTCCGTCGAGTGCAGATTTTTATAGAGGCTGGCATTAAGTTCCACAGCACACTTGAATCTCTACCAGTAGAAGCTCATTTCTTGCACTTCTAAGATCTTGATTTGTCTGACCTCTTCCTTCTTCAACACATTTGAAAATGTCTGGACCCTCCGACCGTCGTTTTGACTTGAACCTTGGAGAAGAGACAGCCACGCCTTCTCCAGACAACATATGGCGCCCATCCTTCATATCCCCTACTGGTCCTCTTACCGTTGGGGATTCTGTGATGAAGAATGATATGACCGCTGCAGTGGTGGCCAGGAACCTTCTCACTCCCAAAGATAACAGACTACTTTCCAAACGGTCTGATGAGTTGGCTGTTAAGGACTCTCTGGCTCTTAGTGTTCAGTGTGCAGGTTCTGTGTCTAATATGGCCCAACGCCTATTTGCTAGAACCCGCCAAGTTGAATCATTGGCTGCTGAAGTGATGAGTCTCAAACAGGAGATTAGAGGGCTCAAGCATGAGAATAAGCAGTTGCACCGGCTCGCCCATGACTATGCTACAAACATGAAGAGGAAGCTTGACCAGATGAAGGAATCTGATGGTAAGGTTTTACTTGATCATCAGCGGTTTGTGGGTTTGTTCCAAAGGCATTTATTGCCTTCGTCCTCTGGGGCTGTACCTGGTAATGAAGCTTCAAATGATGAACCTCCAATGCCTCCTCCTTCTGGGGTTTTGTCAAGTACTGAGGCTCCGGATAACCACCCTCCGGTGCTTTCTCTTTCTGGGGCTCTACCGACTGCTGAGACTTCCCCTAAGCAACCTTTGTGAAGGCTCCCTTTTGTTTGTTTATTTTGACTCATGTATATGTACATATTTGTGGCTTATCGAAAATATTAATAAATAAGCTTTGCTTCATTTCAACATATTGTGTTAAATACACCAAAGCCTTCTTCATAAAGTTCTTTGAATTTTTGCTTTTGTTGAAACCTGTATTGTTGAAGCTTTGTGAGTGAAGCATGTAGTTTGAGGTAGTGTTCCCTTAATTTCCCGAGTGAGGAAAACTTCTCGGTTGGAGACTTGAAAAATCCAAGTCACTGAGTGGTTGTGAGACTTTTGCCGAGTATCCAAGGTGCAGTAGCATATGGTGGGAGTCCCCCAAGTCTTCAGTCGAAGAGAGTTGCCGAATGAGGTGTCTCGCGTGTTACTAATGTTGTCAAAGTAACGAAACTTCATTCTTTTGTTTTCGAAGTGGTAGCCCACATTTTCGTTCATAGATTTTTTATCTAAAAAATGGATTTCCAACTTTTGTGTGTTTGATGCTGCAATGCTATTGACTAGATCACAAGATCAAGTGCAATTAGTAGCTTTTCTCTCTTTTTCATCTTTTCTTTGGTGGAATTGCTTTTTCGTTTCCACTAATCAGCCTGAGTGGATGCAAGATAACACACCTTTCTCTATAGCTCAGAATTGCAAAGTCGTCTTCATGAAAGTTTTTCCTTATCTTGTGAACTACAACATATCCAAATTTGAGATCCATCGGAGTAGTACAACTTCAGAAATTCAAGTATGATGAGTAACTGTTCATCATTTTCTGTTAATCCGTCAGACTTGTTGTGAGCTTCGAAACTCCATTTTCTCTTGTTCAGATCAACATACTTTCTTCATCGAAGTTGTTCCTTAACTTGTGAACTACAACATATCCAAATTTGAGATCCCTCGGAGC